GATATACCCAGTTATCATTCATAACCTATGGTTTGTTTAAAAAATGCTGGAAAAACTAAAAAAGTTAGCCAATTGAAATAAATGCACTAATAACTTGCTAAACATAGCTTGGTAGTTGCTATTTATTATATAAAAAACATCTGTCAACGAAACACTCATGCTTTTTCCTGCCACTCGAGTCTCCACTCACCAGGGGCCGGTTGTTCAAAGCTGGGTTAGTTTAACCCATGGTTAACCTAAAATTCGAAGCAAACTTCCTGACAGCTTTTCTATAAATTTGGAAATATTTCTTCAGAGATCTTGTCTGGATCGATAGAAGTTTACTTCTCTGAAGTTTTCAAATACACAGATCTATGTGTAGAACTACACAAACTAAAACAGCAGGTTAAATTTTACCCCAGGGTTAGCGCTAACCCACCATTGAACAACCGGCCCCAGGTGTCTTTATGAAAATGTTTGGATAAAATCCTATTTTTAATTAAAAAAGTCAACCCTATACTTGATACACTGAACATAGACATCCACGACATCTCCTGCAGCAATTAGTGGGTGCAAATACTTGCATAGTCCAGAAGCAATATAACCAACATGTGTCCATACAGTTCCATAGTCTAGATCAATAGACAATTCCAGCTTTTAATTTGTGCATACAGGGGGTGACGGGAAGTAAGGTATCATATTGCTGATTATGCTGAAAAATTTTAATAAACTGCCTAAACAACCAAAATATTTCAATATTTACAATAGCTACCACTCCATGTTTACATGGCCACCATTTCTATTTTTTCAGCATTATCAGCAATATGATACCTTACCAATATGATACATCCCCTGCATGCATAAACTAAAAGCTGGAATTGACCATTGCACTTGGGTCCCTTGGATTCAATGGTGCTGGCCATATTCTTACATTGAATTCACTGTTTTATCTTGTTCATGAAGAGCGAGGTATTATTCTTTAATTTTCCAAATGATGTCAGCAGTTTTTCTCATGAGCAGCACCGATACACTTGAATGGTACAGAGTGGGCGATTTCTTCCTCCCCATCACTTTCGTCTTCATCACTTAACTTGTCATCACTTTCTGCCCTATCACCTTGATCACCTCTTTCATTATCATATACATCTTGAACAGGTTCAAGACCAGCCAACCACTCAAGTAAATCTCTTTCTACAAAATCATATTAAACAAGGAAATTATTATTTGATACATTGTCATCTCTAAAATTAGCAAAAATATACAAACAGCAATATTTAGATGAAAATTTAAAAAAATATTAAATTACAGTTTGCACATTTAAACAACCACCCACAACTAGATACAAACAGACATTATACTCAGCAAAAATTTATAGAACCATACAAATAACTGAATAACAATATACCTTCAGACTCATCTGAGAACCAATGTTCATCATCTCAATGTTCATCATCAATTCTATTCGCTGTCAATATATGATCCACATCGAAATCCAAAATCAACTAAAGCATATGCAGCTGGGTGTTTTCGTTAGCAAACTCATCAGGAGTAGGGTCAAACTAAAGGGTTAAATTATTAGAAATATTACGCCATAATTTGTACAGTGTACTGTATTTATAAAATTACAGTACAATATTGAAAACAGCAAAGCGAAAATTTGACCAAATAACAAGTCAACTGTATTAAATGCATTGTAATATACTAACTTTAAATACTGCGCTTGTTTTCACGTTGATGATACACAGATATTTAACGCCATCCAACTTAGAAATAAGGGCCTCGCTATTGGGAATATAAACACAATTCTTTCGCTCTGACAGACGGTTTATTTATAAAGCTTTAAATTAAATTTAATATAAGGTAAACTTGGTATAGTAAAACACAAGTCATAATGAGGATCGCAACAATAAAGCAATAACATGCTATTTTCACGAAGTTTTGCAGCCTGACAATCTTGTATTTCGAATGCTTCCATATTTGTTTACTCAGAGAGATGTTCACTCCACGACAGTCAAAGAGTCATTTAAGCCACGCCTGGAATTAGGCACTCGAACCCATGATGCTTTGCGGCCTGCTTGTCGAACCTCCTCTGTGGCCAGTGTAATGGCCGCCGTCGTATTTCCGGCATGCGCGACACGACATGCGCGAGGACACCGACTTCAAAGGATCCGACGTTCAGTTGCCCTTCTATTCATTTCTTATTCTATGCCCTGGTTAACTACTGAGATCAAACATTTGATGTGGGAGTGGGATCGCTTGAAACGAATTGCTGTATTAACTAACGAGGAAACAGCTTTGTTTAACTTTAAAAATCTTAAAAACCAAGTTAAATTTAAAATTAGGGAAAATAAGACACAATATTACAACTCGTTTTTTAATGATAATCTGGGTGATTGCAAAAAAACTTGGAATGGTATAAATACTATACTATCCAAGAATAAAAACCTTACCCATACGGAAAAAGTAATCGTTGATGATGCTGTAATCAATGATCCGCTCGGGGTAAGCAATGCCTTCAATAGGCACTTTACTGGCATAGGACCCAAACTTGCGGCAAAAATCCCAGTTAATTTAAATTTAAATGCAAACTATGACCATATTAACAAACCTGAAAATGAATTTGAACTTCTAATAGTCAGTGAGTTAGTAGTTTCAAAGTTAGTTGAGAAACTGTCAACACGTAAAGCCAATGGTCTAGATAACATTCCAGCTTGTTTGTTGAAAGCAAGTGCGCCAACCACGATAAGCTCGTTGACTTACATTATAAATTTGGTAATCCATACTGGCACTGTCCCACATGACTGGAAAAGAGCTAGGGTTACTCCTATTCATAAGGAAGATTGCAGAATTGACCCCCAATAACTATAGACCTATATCCGTATTATCTGTGGTTGCAAAATTATTTGAAAAAGTGATCTTTGATCAAACTTATGAATTCCTATGTAATAACAATCTTCTCTCAGATGCCCAATCTGGTTTTAGGCCTTTGCATTCCACTTTAACAGCACTGCTAGATATCACTGACAAATGGTATTCCAATATGGACAATGGTTTAATCAATGCTATACTTTTTATTGACTTAAAAAAAGCTTTTGATACCATTGACCATGAAATTCTTCTAAATAAATTATCTCGATATGGTTTTAAATGCAAGACCATTGAACTTTTTCGCGATTATTTAACGGGACGTACTCAAATAACTGTTGTTAACAATATCCCATCTGATAGCTCTGATATTACATGTGGGGTTCCTCAAGGATCCATTTTAGGACCTTTGTTATTCTTGTTGTCCCCGAGCCGACGGCGCGAAGCGCCGTGCGAGGGTACTAATTCCCCCCGGCTATTTACACCCGGGGAAACGAAAGCATTAGCGAAGTCTAAAGTTCATCAATTATCGCGGGCGTGGGTCACCAACGATGGGTGGTCATCCTCACTGATCTCAAAGATATAAGGCGGACTGTCATGAATAGCAGACACTGATTGGTCCAATTTAAAGATTGCATTATAACGACTGCATGACGACAGCGAAATAGCAAACATTTCTTCATTTCTTGATTTGATGATTGATAAATTTCTTGCAAATATATTTCATTTTTGCTCGCATTTTGGCACGATTTTGTAAATTTCAAAAGGTTTCTCACAAGAAAAGGCGATAGAATCCGCTAAAAGAAGGGAGCCGGCGTTAACGAAGGTAAGTTTGTTTTAAATATTGATTTTATATTGACTTTAAAACCCGAGGGCCTTTGCGTATATGAAACAACTATTACAAGACAGCATATAATTTCAGTGTATCTTTAATAATATTGATTCCTTTTTTTATTATATTGAATTTTTTAAATAAAAAAAGAAAGCAAAGTCATTTGCAAGCGAGAATTTGAAATGATTTTATTGCAAACTCAAAGTTTATCGATAAAGCCATTTTAATAATTAAAGGCAGTTTAGTTTTATAAAGAACACTTTAAAACGTTTTGCGAAGCGTTTGTGGTTGAATTTTACCTTAAATTGAAGCTTATAATTACGTATAATAATATACCTAACATATATATGTTGGGAAATTGATAATGTTGTAATTAATAATATGTTGGGAAATTGATAATTTTGTAATTTAGGCGATTTTTCATTTGTAAGAATATTCTTAAAAACTATCGTACACGCGTAAAAATTGATCAGGTTGTTGTAACATTGTTCGCTGAACAACGTTGCAACAATGAGGTCATCATGGCTGAACAACGTTGTTCAAGCGACAATCGTTAACAACATTGTTCCAGCAACTTGTTCACGCTTGATGAACGAACAGTGGTTGTTGCAACATGATGGAACAAGCGTCCGACAAGGTTGATGAAACATGCTTGATAAATGTTGTCAGAACAATGTTGTTCAGCGTTGTTCATTCATCAGGCGTCAACAATATTGTTCGAACAAGCGTGAACAACATTGATGAAAGAACAAGTTGTTTTTAGTTGTTCGAACAACCGTGAACAGCATTGTTATTAATAGACGGTAAAATAATGATTTGAACAACACGAAAACGTGTTTTTATTGGTTGTTGCGAACCGCTGGGATGCAAAACGGACGAATGCCACGAATATCACGAGAGCAAGAAATCAAACGGGCTTTTACAGCAAAATAAATGTCGTTTAAACTTTGTGGTTTTTTCGGAAGATTGAGCATTTGAGGGGAAAATACTGAAGAAAATAACTTGGTAAGTGTCTTGTTTTGAGGTAAGGTTAGTTGTAAAAGCTTAAAACAACGCGACCTTTTGATTTTAGTCATTTTCATAGTACACGAAGAAATGCACACGCACAAAGTTTATAGTACTTTTATATAGGTATTGCATTTTGATATTTTTCTCGATATTTTCAGTATATATGAAACAAGAAACCACGGTCATACTGTAATAAAAAGCCGTAATATAAACAAAACATTTAATTCTCAAAATATTGTTGAAATTTTTCCAGTTGCACTTTAAATTTCTGTCAGAGTCTTTTTAACTTTGAATATGTCAAAATCATATCATAATTATGTCCTCCGCCCCTTCCGTCCCTATTGTTGTTTGTAATTTTGATCACTGCTATATATAAACAATTCCTATTGTGTTTTAACAAGGTCAACCAAATATTTGATCAGTTTACACACCAAGAATGATGTATTTACTGCATATAATATGTGATGGATAGATTATAGGTAGGTAGGTAGGTAAGAGTGCATACAGTTAAATAATTAGCCATTTCTCATATTTCCTCATAGTTTTATTTCCTGGTTAAGCATGCAGGTGACTATAATTGTCATGGAAGGTATGAAGGAGGTAGCTATGATTTTATCACATGGCTATGGGGGATAATTATGACCATTATTATGCTCAAATGTAATTATTGTCTCATTTTTATCCTTTTTGTAGTGTAAACTTAAGTATAAAAATAAAGATTTATGAATATGTCAGACAAATTATATACAATGGGTGATCACTTGGTAAGTAATTTTTATACCTTTGTTGTGGTCTGTGTAGATGGAGGCTATTTTGGCAATAGCCATGCACTTAGACATAGCATGACCAGTCCATATGTGGACTGCCTATGTCTATTAAACATGATTGAATACCCAAATTAGATTCAAGATTATGATATGTCCCAGGTATGGATCCAAAAATGACCATGTACTGAAGTTATATGGCATGAGCCATGTAAAATATGGTGGGAAACATACAATTGGGGCTGCATCCCACCATAATGCACTAGTCAATTGAAACCCCGACCCCCGGGATAGGGAGGGGAAATTAACATTTTGACAATGTTAAATTTTGGACATTTAAATTCCCTGCTACCGGGAGAATATTGACTGTTAAAATTACTGTCCCTATGTCCCCAGCACTTTGGGAATTAATTGTCCTGGCTAATAAATTGATTTGTTATTTATTACCCTGTACCCTGGGGGAAATCTGCATTAAAACCGTGTTAATCCACGGCCATTACCCCGTCAATTCCCCGCCCTGTCCCGGGGTTGGGGGTTTCAATTGACTAGTGCATGCATAAACATTGCAAAGGTCCATTTTGTAAATTAATGGCACTATGTATTTAATCAAATTTATAGGGCCTGTGAGTTCATATCTGGAATAAAATAATGGCAAATCTACAGAAATATCACTGCTAAGGAGTGTCAAACAAATTCAGGAGGACTGAATTAACTGGATGTTCTCAGGATGAAAAAGAAATTGCTGACTTTAATTGAATAATCATTATCATTAATGTTAAAGGTTAAAAATATTGAACATTCAAAAGGATGCAGACAGAAAATTGAAAGTAGGGCCTGAATTTCAGGTTAAGTGATCCAGGAATGGGGTTGGCCCTCTGCAGGCTAAATCAATTGAGGGAGATCCCTTTATTTCAAGTTAAATGATTATTTGAATAAGATGCCATTCAGGCAGTAAGGGCCTGGTTAGGTCCATATTTTAATTCAAATTATTAAGTACTCGATTTATCCATCAACAAAACCCAACATTAAAATTTCCATCGAGTGAGATGCAACAAAACCATCTATAGTTTATTAATTATGTTAACCTAACCATCAATTGGCAATGAGCCTACTTTAGTAATAATTTTATATACTCCATCTCTAAGTTGCCCATTATATTTATAAACTGACAGTTAATACTATTACTCTTTCACATACTAATAAAATCATCTGGGCCCGGTTGTTCGAAGCCCGTGAAAGCCTTTGAACTACCGGCCCCAGATGATTTTATTAGTCTGTGAAAGATTAATTATTAACTGTCAGTTTATAAATATAATGGGCAAATATATGATTATGTACAAATTGCATGCATGGTTCATAATATCTCTTAGCCTGCATGGCAGGCGGTATTTCTACGGGCAGCGAAAATTAGGGAAGCAAAGGAAATACCGTCTGCCGCAAAACTAGGGGTTTTTGAATTACCCGTCCGCTGGTGAACGGGAAAAACGGATTGGTTAGTATTTTTATGTAGTTGTCAATCAACGGCTAAATTCGGTTAAATGTTAATCATTAACCAAATGTTTTGAGGTTTTGAAACTCTGCGTTTTGAAATTAGTTCACGTCAAGTCAGACCAGAAATGGATAACATAATAAAAGAAGCAAATTAAAAGATACAAGCTGAAAAATAACACTCTAAATAGTGTTTTTGATAGAGATTCGAACAAGAATATTTAACAAAGAAGATACGTCCGAAGGGGCCAAAGTTATGATCGGCGAAAGGTATGGGCTAGTCTATATTTTCGTTCAGACAATTACATGCGTATTAATTTGATAATATACTATCTCGCTTGACTTGCCATAAATCGCAATAATGTTGACATTTTACTAAAACTATCAATAGAAATTAGGAGATATTTCTTCACTGAATCGAACAGTGGGATTTCCATATAGGCCTATCAGTCATGTTCTGAACCAAAGATACTTGATAGATATTATATACGAACCTCCAAAGTATAAACAAGGGGCCGGTTGATGCAGTAATTATCAAATAACTGTTAAACTCTTACATACCCGTTGAACTATGTATAGTTGTAAACAAATAAAAACTATCGTTCTATAAGGTTCAATACTTTCAGTTTGGTTGTTGACTGATGATGAATCTATAGTATAGACTTGCATGCTTTGTATTTTGAGCTTATTAAACCACCGTTTTAAGGCAGCTAAACGGCTAAACGGGCTTGGTTTATATTAACACATAAAATAAATTCCTTGATTCTCATCACTAGACACAGTCTACACTTTGAAATGTCGAAGACAGTGGGAGATTTATTTTTTATATTTTATATTTATATAATTTATATATCAATAGTTCGTATCTCCACGAACAATGACAGAATGACTGGGTTTCTTTAAAATACAATGAAATTTCACTCAAAATTCTGTTTGTTTCAAATTGGAAGTTTAAAATGGCAAAAAAAACTCTATATAAAATATGAAAAAATTAACTGTCTTGAATTATTTTGTCGGGCGGTACATTTATATTGTATAACTAAAAATAAAACGTTTTCACGAGGATTTTAAAATTCAGTCGGGCGGTGATGAGAATCAAGGAATTTATTTTATGTTGGGCAGTTGGGACTTGGGAGCAGCTTGGGAGTGGCTAATTTTGAATATTTACTTAATTAATGCATCTATAAATAGCGTTGATTCTTCAGGGGCGGTAGTTCATTTACACCCAGTTTTGCGGCAGGCGGTATTTCCTACGTACCGCCTGCCATGCAGGCTAAATATCTCTGTGATAGACTTGCTCCAGCAGATTCAAATTCCATCCTGACAATACCTAAATAATAATTATAGAAGTTGCAGTGTTGCACTACCTTTTGCTAAAATACTGCCATGGTTTACCAGTATTTAATATGAACTCAAAAGTCAAAACACTTAACACTATGAAGTATTTTGATTTATAAATAGTACTTAGTATTTTATAAACCTTAATTGCATATAAAATAGTTTATAGTCATTTTACCTTTGTACTTTTACTGTAATTATCTCTTTAGTTTGTATTTGTTCACTAATCTGTATTTTCTTATTTCAAAATAAACTGAATTTCATATCAAGAAGCGAAGTTTGTCTGTTTGCGTGCTTATTTAAAGGCATAGTTCAGCCTTCTGAGTGATGGTTTTTATGGCGCATTATAAGACTTTTAATTGAAAAAACCAACTAGGAAAATCAGTTAAGCATAATTCAAAATCAGTGAACTCAATGTTAAAAAACATTAGAAATGTTTAAAAATGTTAAAAACATTGAAATCACTGATCTTGAATTGTGCTTAATTGATTTTCCTAATTAGTTTTTTCAATTCAAAGGCTTGTAATGCGCCTTAGAAACCATCATTCAAAAGGCTGAAATGTGCCTTTAAATTTCTCTCCCCTCCCCCCTGGAAAATGGCCACGAATAGCAGCGTCGAAAACGATTGATATCAGGCTGTTTACGTGTTGATAAAACAAGACTGTTCGCAGTTGTTGACAATATAAAACATCATTGATATCAGGTTGATCTCAGTTGTTCCAACAACGTTGTTCAGGCCTTGTTCGTTCATCAGGCGTCAACAACATTGTTCGAACAAACGTGAACAATATTGTTGACAACATTGCTGCAAGTAGGCCGCACAATATTGCAGCATCCTGTTCAGAACCAAGTTGCAGCAACTTATTGACAACTTGCATCAACCTGAGCGTTTTTACGCGTGTACCATGACATGATGACAACTACTTTAGATATTTCATGTTCGGAAAATACAATGGTTTTGTCAGCAAGGCGAGGACTTCTGCATGCATGTATTTTCTAGTACATTAATGACTTACCAAATTGTAACTTGATATCTGATGGACATCTATATGCTGATGATACTAACTTGACATATGCGGATAACGACATTAATCAACTACTCTCCGTAATGAATAATGATTTTCTTTCGCTTAGAAATTGGCTTAACATAAATAAGCTTAGTCTAAATACACTTAAAACAAAATGCATGTTCATCGCAACTCGACACTAATTAGCTACCTTACCAAGTCAACCAACAGTGGCCATCGATGGCAATATCATTGAGCGAGTTAAAAAATACAAATGCTTGGGCTTGGAGCTGGACGAGTGCTTGATGTGGGATGAACATATTGCTCAAATTACCTCAAAAATTACCAAAATAATAGGAGTTTTAAGGCGATTAAAATCATATCTTCCGTGTCGTGTCCTAATTTTAATCTACAAATCCTTGATTCAACCACATTTTGATTATTGCAGTAGTGTTTGGGGTAACTTGGGTAAGGGTCTGGCACAAAAACTCCAACAATTGCAAAACAGAGCCGCTCGTATTATTAATGGTTCTCACTATAGTGTCCGCTCACACGAGGTTCTAAGTGAATTAAATTGGTCAAACCTAGAAGAAAGACGATCTCAGCAATTTAAAACGCTTATGTTTAAAATAATGAATAAGATGGTTCCAGATTATCTGTCGGATAAATTTACGTACGTTAATCTGGTTCACAACCATAATTTACGAGGCTCTAGTTCTAAACAATTCGTCCCTAGACCTCAGACTGAGGCTCTCAAAAAAAGCTTTACTTATCGGGGAACTGTTCTGTGGAATAGCTTGTCTGCATGTGGAAGCGATTAATGCTAAATCAATTGCTGAATATAAGTCTCATATAGCTTAGTTAATAAATTACTTCTTTAATTGTATATATTTAATTGTATTAATCTAATTATAGGCTACTTATTTAATAGCTATATTTGGTAGTTTGCACGGCTCCAGGGAAGAGTACACTATGTGAATTGGACTCCGTGTTTTTAAATAAAATCCTAATAATAATAAATAATGATAATAACTGTACTGTACTGTACTGTACTGTACTGTACTGTACTGTACTGTACTGTACTGTACTGTACTGTACTGTACTGTACTGTACTGTACTGTACTGTAATCTCATAAAATTCACTGTGCAAAATTATGGCGTAGTATTTGTGTTTATTGCCTCTAGGTTGACTATATTGTGTGTGTCTATGTACTGTGTCATTGTGATACATATGTACATGTTTTGAGTTAAATTTATTATAAATTTTTGCGGATGTATGATGCCCGTTGGTCTCTAGTTGTAGATAGATTTTTACATATATATGCATACAGTAGCTATATTTTTCAATTTTCATCTGTAAAATATTGCCATATTTGTGTGTTGTTCTAAATAAATATTACTGTGAATAGTGACACACCTTTACATTAGATTGCTAATTTTAGAGACTACGGCGTAAGTATAAAATAATAAAACAAACATTTTCTTGTTATGATTTTGTAGAAAGAGATCTATTTGAGTGGTTAGCTGGTCTTGAACCTGGTCAGGTAATGAAGGTGATAGGGCAGAAAGTGGAAACGAAGGTGATAGGGCAGAAAGTGGTGACCAGTTAAGTGATGAGGATGAAAGGGACGAAGACGAAATCACCCATGCTGTACCATTCAAGTGCATCGGTGCTCCTCATGAGAAAAACTACCAACATCATTTTGGAACAGGCATACCTTGCTCTTCTTTGGCCAGAGCAATTGAATTCAATGGACCCAAGTGCAATTGATCTAGACTATGGAACAGGATGGACACATATTGGTTATATTGCTTCTGAACTATGCGAGTATTTGCGCTCACTATTTGCCGCAGGAGATATCTTAGAGGTCTATGTTCAGCATATCAAATATAGGGTTGAGTTTTTTAATATAGAATTTTATCCAAAAATTTCATAAAGGGACGTGGTGAGTTGGAGACTCAAGTGGTAAGGAAGAGGAAGGGTGTACGTTCACAGATGTTTGTGATATAATAGCAACTGACTAGGTTTAGCAAGTTATAGAAATGCTGTTATTTCAATTGGCTCACTTTTTAGATTTTTTTCAGCATTTGTAAATTAAACAAAAACTAGGTAAAATCAATGCAATTAAAACAATGTCTGTCATGCACACTCGTGCAATTAAGTACATAATTGTAACATGTGCTGTACTAAATGAATAAATAAATAGTTTATACATTCACTTGACCAACTTTGTGAGTAAATTTTCATTAAATTAATGCAACAATAAA